GATGTAATACTGCTATAGGTGATCCTAATTTTCTGAATAAAGAATAAGATATTATGTCATTTAAAAGTAATCATGAAAACTTGAAAACTGTAATTTTGAGGAAGTGGTATGAGCATATTAGATAAGTAAAAGCTCCAACGATGCTGCAGATTGCTAAACATTTTCCATACCCGTCATGCCCAAATGCATTTTGTATTTAAATAATGTTAATCTACGAAGTGTCATATGGGGAAGCTCTGACATGCTGAAATAATTATTGTTTTAGTCGATAAATGGGAAATTTATTTGTACTTCAAAAAATGCCATCCTGCTGACCGAAGCGTCATTAAAGAATAATTTCTACATAATTTGGTTTCATTTGGCCAAACATAGGATTTTATCTGAATATCCTTCAAGCACGCTGCTCAAAAATTGAAGCAATCTGTAATTGGTGATGTAATCGAATAAACTTGTGATTGTCATTTTCAAGGTCAATTACGAAAATATTAGTTTTTTTGAACTAACTGTGGTCTGGCAATGTCAATGAATGACTTAAAGAAGAATAAAGTTGATGATTGAAATAAGAGACCAAACGTCATATCAAAATACCACTTATACCATCTTGTAGCGCTGTGCAATTTATTTTGAAATGCTACTTTATTTGGAGTTAGGAGAAAATAAAAACGATTTTGGGGAATTTCGTTTTTTATATATATCCGGAAATATTCTGAATTGCGAAACTGAATGCTATTTTCTTAGATACCTAAATGCGCAAATTTGCTCCTATGTGGCAGTCGAATTTGAAATACCTGATATAGCAACATTCACATTAACATATTTTTTGGCTTGCTTTCACTTCCTACGCCGATTGAAGTATTGTAATCTCGAAAAAATTCTAAAACGAGATATTGTTCTTTTGATGCTACATATCTCCATCACGAAAAACCATGTCACTCATTTCTGTCAGTCAGTCCGCTGATCCTTAGTCTCTTAGTGGAACCATGGGCAAAAGACGAAACACTATGTTCCCATATTAAGGAAAATTAAAACGCGTAAGTACTTCATAACGTGCTGAAAGGCCAACGAAAATTTACTAACTGCTAACTTGGCCAACAAGCTTGCATCAATTTTCCTTAATATTGGGGAAACGTCATGTCGTGTAATTATTTTTGATTTGTCGGTCCGGCACAGTACTCTCTGTTGTTACATATTCAGTTATTTAAGTGTATTTCTTACTGCTTAGTGATGCATACAGATGAGAAAGGTAACTTAGGATAAATATCTCCATCCTAAAGGATGCAGACTATTTCATTCCCGTAGTCCGCGAAATTGAGTAGTACTATAGTTTTTTTTTCGGAATACAACAAGAAATCAAGATTGTGAAAAATTATGAGAATTTCTTTTTCAATAAAATGTATAATGTACCTACAGTAATGGACAAAAGTATATAGACAAACATGAATATTTACCTAAATATCTTTAGAAAATGAATTCATACTTCTTTGCTCCATAAACAAATGCGTTATTAGTAAATTCCTTGTATTTGCATTATCTGCAATGAATACAATACAAGTCTGAATATAAGCACTTTTTATGAGGGACAAAAATATGTAGACAAATTCTTTTCAACATTAGTTTAGTACAGTTTCGTGTCAAAAAAGGATTAGTTTGTGTTCATCAAGTATTGTGGAATAAGTTGAGTGATTTTAAGACCATGCCGCGTGGTCCAGAAATTTCTTTCGATGTGAAAACTAAGATCATTGAGTTATACAAAGATAGTCAACGTCAAGTCGACATTGCCAAAAATTTGAAGCTGAAGCCTAAAACTGTTTGGGCAATATTGAACAAATATAAACAAAAAAGTATCTTGGAAGCCTCTAAGAGAAGTGGTCGGCCTAGAAAACTAAATGCTAGATCAGTTAGATTAATAAAAGTAATTTCGTCCAAAGATCCGTTTAAAACCCCAAGACAAATAAAAGCCGAAATCTAGACAAAAGGAATTGTCAGTGTTTCTACGAAAACTATAAGTTGCACGTCGCCCGAGTAAGAAGCCGCTAATCTCGAGGAAAAACCGTAAGGACCGATTACAATTTGCACGGTTGCATCTTGATTGGAGCATCTGTGACTGGAAGAGGGTATGTTTCAGTGACGAATCCAAGTTCAATATGTTTGGATCAGATGGTGTTCATTACGTTAAACGTCCTAGTGGACAAAGATTGTACCCCAAGTACACTTTGCCCACTGTCAAACATGGAGGCGGGTGTGTTATGGGTTGGGGGTGCTTTTCGGCTTAATGGCCCGAAGCACACTTCAAATCTCGCAAAGAAATTCTTTCTGGATGAAAAAATACCAGTTCTCACATGGCCTTCACAATCTCTCGATATAAACCCCATTGAAAATCTATGGGAATACAACAAGGAATAGAACAAGGATGAATTTTTTGCCGCTTTAGAGCAAAAGTGGAGACAGATTGATCTTATATCAAGAAACTTCTAAAATCTCTGCCGAGACGATGCCAGGCGGTGATTGATAATAATGGTTGTGCTACAAAATATTAACACAAACATGGTTGGTTTTCTATAATTCAATGAACTTTGCTTCTTTTTTCTATAATTGTTTTGCTTTGTCTATATATTTTTGTCTTTCATAGTTCCAGTTTTTTTCAATTAATTTTTTATTGAAGGGAGTCTAATGAATTTATTTATATATAAGTGAGTATTATGCTATAACGAATTATGTATACAGGTTGGTGTATCAATAAAACAAGTTAAAAAAGAAATACAGCACAATATTAATTTGTCTATATACTTTTGTCCATTACTGTATATCTATCACTAAAACGATCGTGAAGGCTCTGGAACAAATTGTGCCGTCTTCATGTTCTGTGAAACTTGATTGCCAGTAATTCTGTCATGAAGTGGCAACACCTAAAAGTGACTAGAGTCCTCAAATCATTGAAAAAACGCATATTAGTGGCTTTTTGTTCCCCTTGTGTTCACTTGTTATATCCAGTTTCAAAAATGTTTTCTCCAATAACAGTTACATATTGACAGTCAGTAGTAGTAAAGAAATAAAGAACATACTTCAACGATATAATAAACCAAAAAATTATCCCTGAAGCATTTTTTTGTTCTGCTTAATTGATCGGAATATCATAATATAAACAGTTCTATTGAGAGTAAGGTCATCTCCATCGTTATTGTCAAAAACGTTATCTTGTTATTAAGCAGTATTATGATGTTCAGCTCTTGATTGCATTCTACGATTGTATGACTTTGAAATTTTTATCATTACTTTTAGTAAATTGAGTAATATTTTTACCTTCATGCTACTGCATATTACGAGACTAAAGAAAATAGCAATTAGTATCCTTCCAAGAAAAAATAATCAAAAACAAAATGTTTTGGAATTATTGAAATAATATGGAAACCTTTTATCAAGTACTCCTTATAAGTTTGCCTTACGTTCCTGAGATATGTCGCTAATTTTTTTCTGGAATTAACGATACCATACATTTTTTGATATAATGTAATTTATTAGGGGATGGCTGTAGGAAGCTGTTTATATTTTTTACTATACATGGAAATGGTATATTCCATGGCACTATGTGCGAATATTAATACTATTAAGTAGGGCTCAGTAGTTTCTGGCGTAGATACATTTCCCTATCAAGTAATTTGTGATAAAAACTCGCTCGCTCGCTCGAAATTCAACCATAATACATATATAAAAATCATTGTCCTGCCCCAGATTTTATTGATATTACCAAAAACAAAAGATTAATTTTGCATAACTAATCTTTATTACGTTTCGCGTGGAGTTTTGTGATTCGGAACGTATTGAAAAGTGTACTGGTAGCAGTACAGTGCTGCAGCACCGGTATTGCCTATCAACTCAAGCACCACTTGTTTGATAACAGGCTCAAATAATTGGAAACGCTGAAAATTATCACAACTTTGCAACTCCTTTATGTTTGCGTACGAAAATTCTAAGCATTAATGTGATATTGAATATTTTTTAGCTCGCTAACAAGTTTTTTCTACACCAGAAAAATGTTGAAAAAGCGGTGAAAGTTTTTTTGAAAATCATGATCCAAAAAAAAAATGTTCATGGCTATGTCGAAAAATTTTCAGAAACTAAAGAATCATTGGGATACGAGGCTCATGGACATGAAATCTACAAGGCCTTTTCAAGATTTTATCGAAATCCGAGAATGGTAAATGCTCATATTTTTTCACTCCACGGTATGTCAAAGTGTACATGGTTTAGTCTATTTTTCAAGCGTTTGAATGCTTTTGAGCGTAGTCAAAATATTTCTGAAGAGGTCAAAGTAGAGTGACTGTTCTAATTGAAACATGTGTAGATATATTTTTTAGAATAACGCATAACTTTTATAGAAAATAATCGGTTCAAGGCTGACGTCCAATAATGTGAGCATTTTCTTTTATTTTATGATGCTACTCCACTGTTAGTCTGATCGTATTAGACGAAAATACCACTGGTTTGCGAAATAATTCTAAAGTCTGGTTTTATTGATGCAAGTTGTTCAAGAGGGTATTCAATACATGGACGCATAAAATGGAGTACACCATTTTTTGTGGGAAAACTTTTTATTCGACAACAAAGAATGAGGAAACGTGTTTTTTAATATTCAATCGAAAGTGTTGGTAGGGATGAAAAAGGTATTTATGAGACCACACGTGAAAAGATCCGACTACAAGGAAAAAAGTTATGACCATTTTGTAGGTCTCATAAATACCTAAAAATCTTATATGAAAAGTTTTTTCGTTTCTGTCAGCACTTTCGATTGAATCCCAAAAAAAAACGCGTTTTCTCATTCTTTGTTGTCGAATAAAAAGTTTTCCCACAAAAATTGGTGTACCCATTTTATGCGTCCATGTTTCAAATACCCCCTTGAACAACTTGCACCAATAAAACCAGACTTTACAATTATTTCGGGGAAATTTGCTAATATGATAAGACTATATAATTATTACGTTTTGCTCAAATATTATCTGCAGGGTCCACAACGAGGCTTCGTTCAAACGACTGTTGGCGTGGTGAGAGAAGAAGGTTTCTTTAAGCTATGGAAGGGCATGAGCGCCGCATGGCTGCGGCAATTCCTGTATTCAGGAGTCCGCATAGTCTCCTACAAGTACATCAAGAACAAACTGATAGCCGTCAATCCTCCGGAGAAGGGATCACAATTTCCTATTTGGAAGTCTGCAATGTGTAAGCCATAACCATAAAACGCTCATATCCTCTAAATATACTGGGTGCTTTAAGGAAATAATGGCAATATTTTTTAGGCTGAAGGTATAGACCTACAGTGAATCAAAAAAGTATTTAAGATTTTTTTAAACTCTACTTATTTAAAAACTCACATCCAAATAGTTATTTTTGAAGGCATTAGATTGAACAAATTAAAAATATACGAATGATAATTTGAATTATAAAATGGGGACTGAATTATGTCGTGCGAGTCGTACAAAGCATAGGAATCAAGTTTGCACTGTTTATGTAAAATTGTTTTGCACAAAAGGCGCATTGCAGCCTCGTGGAGCGAGACTGAATGCATCAAGAATCGAGCTAGCGGAAACACCATTTTCCACGCTTAGCTGAGTTTGTGTTTGAGAATTTTAATATTGTAGCGTTTTTCTAGGTTCTTTTGGGTATACGTTAAAACACTGGATTCCCCAAAAAGAAATTCACTAATTTATTTAACTTATGTATGTACACAGCTATGTATGTGTGACTAATTCTTATGTCGCCATTGACTGCACTATACTCCACTCCGCTCTGCTACTCTACCGTATTCAGTACTCTCTGCCTCCATCTCCCGGCTGCCGAGTTATATATAGCCCCAATTACTGCTTCGTGAAAGGCTGGGTGAACCACAAAGCGACATCTAGAATATTGGAGGTCACTTCACGTCGATCTAGAAGGCCGTCCTCACAGACGCCGCCATGCGGCTTGTGCGGTCGTGGTTCGCGTAAAAGCAGAGTTCGGCCATTAAGCTCTGGCGAGTAGGAGACTCGCCCAACAGATGGCGCTATTTGTCAGAATATAAATGTTAGCGAATTTATGCCCACCGTGAATAATGTATTTGTAGTACATTTGCCCTTAAAAGATAGTAGGATCTAACATGCCCTGTTCTAAAAGTATTGTAAATGCTTAAACTATTCTGTATAAAATAATTTTTTGTACTCCAACCATCGATGTTATTATTAGGTGGTGCAACAGCTGGAGGGTTTGCGCAGTGGATAGCTAGCCCTGCCGACCTCGTGAAGGTCCAGTTGATGATGGAGGGCAAAAGACAAATGATGGGCCTACCGCCAAGGGTTAATGGTATCATGGATGCGTTCATAAAAACCTGGAACTCTGGTGGCGTTAGAGCTCTCTGGAAAGGTAAATATCTCTGCACTGACATTAAAGTTTTTCTACAATTATTTTGCGTTTAATAATAGTTTAATAGTTTGAATCGTTACGAGTGAAAACCGTCGATTTGAGTGCAGGCCCGAGAGTCGTTAATGGAAAAATCATGTGCCCGATAATATCGTTTCATTCTTTTCCAGCATTTTAGTAATGAGTAATAGTGCCATACGAGACATAGCGAAGAATATGTTACAGGTTGATGGAAGATGTTTTTGGGAGGAAAGAATGTTTAGAAATATCCTCACTTTATTAGCACAAAAGCTACTGTCTTCACAATAGCATTTCTATACAGGGAAAACCAAATTTGTCTGACGGCTTGAGTTCAATGTGTACGGGAGAGAAGCGCGACAAACGTGTGTCAGCAATGTTAAAAAAAGAAGCCGGCTGGAGAGCGAATGTCTAGCAACGGTAACGCAGAAGGTACAATCTGCCGCGTTGCCAATATGTTACACCAAAAAGTGTACTCACAAGATTTTACAATAGGTTAGGTTACTCAAACCCAAGAAGGAGGTCTGTTCGAACATTTAATTTAATATTTTGTTTTCATTTTGATTAGAATTAATTCATTTTAATGTTGATGTGACTTGGTGTTTTAATTTATCTTATAATTACTTTTCATTTCCACCTATGGTGATAAAATCAACACAATCGCTTGCTGTCACAAAATGTAACAATTACCATTACGCAGTACAAATTATCACTACCAGCGTGTACGCAGGTGGAAACCGTTTCGAAACAAGAGGACTAGAACGTGAACGCTAGATGATTACTGACCAAAATCGTTCATTTATGATCATGGAGTTGGAAACCTTGAATTGGAATGTACTGGATGCGGTGTTGCCAAGCCAACTAATGGAGTGCCATTCGGACCGATCCGGTATCGATTCCAAACAGATTCAATACAATTCACAACTACCAGAAGCGATGGGGCGGTCAACAGCATTAATGTGACTGATGTGACGTAATTTGCCTGATTACACAAAGCATCCTACTGACTTGTTCTTTGTAGGTTCATATTTTAGGCGATGCCATCTGATAATACTTTGTTTTAATTTTTGCATTATGTTTATATACAGTACCAAGTTTCTCAAAAACATTTATAGGACTTTTAGAATGGATCTGACTTTGGAACATACATATTCTTAGCAAACTGAAATGGATTTTTCGGTAAATAGCTTAACGAGAAAAAAATGATGGGCACTCCTAGATCTAAATGAATAGTTTGAAGTGAATGTGTGAAAACAGTAATACTCTGGATGGATGAAGGCAGCGCGCATCTGCATTCCTCAGTTAACGAGGCTAATACTGAAGCAGTTTGATTTCCTGACTTGATTTAGTATCTAGGTACCAACACAACGTGGATAGTGTTTGCAGCTGTCGCCTTATATACCGGAGCAATTTGATGTCCTGACCTAATTTATTATCTAGGTGCCAGCACAACGTGGATTGTCGATGCAGTTATCAACTTACACTTTTTTCTCATGACATGCATGCAACTGATCCATCCTTTTTTTCGTCAGGATTAAACTTGCACATGTTTTCAGCGCAACTTACAGTTAGCTGTTGTAGCGGCTAGATGCAGAAAGAAAATAATGAAGGCAGCAAAACTATAGGAACATTGAAGTTGCAGCGATTGGGAAGACACATCACATCATCTTATAATTCATCAAATGGTTTATGGAATGCGTTCGCATCATATCATTAACAGCATTTTCATCATATTTTGTATATAGTTACACATTATTTGTCTTAAATTTCACACAGCAGATGGTAAGTGCCCCCCTGAAATACATATATTTAAGTTTTCTTTATACATTCATGAACGAAACTTAAGTGAACACTACGTTAAGAATCTATCGGGATACTCAGATGATTCATGGATATTGGTGGGTAATCCAAATCACACTAATGCCTAGGGTCTCGACTTCTATTTATAAGCTACGGAACCTTGAATCCTCCGACTTAAAATGCTGGATGTTTGCAGGATTATTTGTAATTGTTACCTACCGAAGTTTAGAATTTATAGTACCTAACACATTATTCTGATATTATTATGAGTATTGGACATATAGCGTTCACTTGAGGAACTGAAAATCAACAGCAGAGGCATCCAAAAGTTTTGTTCATGACTGTGGATAAAATATGTTTTCAATTTCGTAGTTCATTCGATAGTTCAAGGTACAATACCTTTATGGGGTAACGAAGGAATTTCATACGTAATGTATACAAACTGTTAACATTACGTCAGGTTTGAACATCAAGTATCTTTGTTTATATGATTATTAAGCGACGTCAGATTATAACAATATTTGATGTATCTCATGCATTCAAACACTCGTATAATATAGTTAACCGTGTTGCATTAACCTCTAATCATTTTCTACTTTGATTGAAAAAGATTTGGATAGTTCACTTTGACATTAAAAAATACAGTATAAAGTTTACCATGATATGGTTGAAAAAACATAACTTCGTTATTTTTAAAAGAGCACCGATATGGTGACTAGATGTTAGATAAGCGATAGTGCATGCGAAAACAAAGAAATATAATGACAATTATAATCATAGTAGCCGTGAACTAACATGCATCGTAGTCTTATCTAAAATCTAGTCAGCGGCGGATCCAAGATTTGTGTCTGGGGGGGTCACACTGGTCAAAAAAACTTCATGTTCAGGACGATGTTCTTCTCGTCTTTGGGGTTGACATCAGTGTACCCTTAGGGTGCAGCATAAAAGTGATTAAAATATTAAATCTAATTTATAAATGAACCATTTATTGTTAAATAACAAAATTAATTCTTTTTGTCTAAAGACTCTAATCCGTCTATTACAGTCTTTTCACGCCTTCAATGCTTATAACCATAAGCTTTTACAATACTGTGCATTTTTTGAATTGATGACATATAATAATAATAATAATAATAATAATCGTCTTTATTGACCAAAAACATGGTACATTACATGGGGCGAGATTTAGCACCTGCTATTCCACCATCTAACCCCGTACAAAAGTGAAAAAAAAACAAGTTATACAAAAACAAACAAAAAAAAATGTGAAACTACAAACATTAAGTCACAGTATAATAGGACTATTTATGCCAATTTTCTTCATGATAATATCGTGGAAGAAATTTTTTTGAATGTACTCATATTATCAATTGCATAGAAGATGAAGAGTGGGAGCTTCTGGCGAAGATATAATGAATGCAAGATCTCTCCTTTCCTCCATGAACTGGACCTTTTTCCTCAATTTATTATGGTGTCATTCTGAATTGAGCGTAATGAATACTGTGCAAGTTCAAATGCAAAAGAAAGAGATAGACTTGATGATGGCTCAAAGGTGCATTTCAGCAGCATTAAAAAAATTAAAAGATTTGAGGAGCAAAAGCACATACGATAATTTTGTTCTGAAGGCTAAGAATAAATGGGAATAGATGAAATGGGAAAATCCTGGTTTTCCCATTGTCGGAAAGAGGAAAATCAAAAAAAAATGTTCGACGAAAAAGCTGCTGACTCGCCACTGGACAAACACGAAAAACATCGAATAACTTACTACAAAGTTTTGGATTCGCACTGAAGGATTTCGTGAAGTGAATGATGTGTTTGGTTTTTTGATGCCAGAGAAATTAGTCAATCTAAAAGAAAACGAATTAGAAACCAGCGTCACTAATTTGATGGAAAAATATTCGGAATTTTTCACTACAGACCTAAAATATGAATTAGCCAGTTTTACGATCATGTATTTTTCAGAAAATCGTAATTTTACTAATGACAGCCCGCTAGATTATTTGAAGTTCATGATTGCAAACAATTTTATAGACAGTTTTCCAGAGAGCTGCAGTTTATTCAGATTGTTTTTGACTTTGCCTATGGGTTCAGCTAGTGCTGAACGTGTTACGAGCTCTTTGAAAATTATTAAAGAACACCGTCGAGCTTCTTTGGCTAAAGACACACTCAACAACTTCTCTATCCTCTATAGCGAAAGATCACTCAATTTGGATTCTGCGATGGAAGTTTTTGCTGAACGAAAATCAAGACGCGGATTCAAATTAGAATAGTTCTGTTATTTTGTATTGAATAAAAAATGTTTGATCTCACAGTATCTACTTGATTCAAGTTATATAGAAATATAGTAAAAAAAAACAGAGGTAACAGTGCGCAGCAGCTACTATTGTGCATATAATTTTAAGCAACTGTCAATATGTGACATCCTTATTGCCAGCAAAATCAGTAGCTCGAACTTTATCTGAACAATTTAGATGGATTTTACGTTATCGAAAATTTTTATATCCGCGTGAATATTGAAACAATTCAATTACCTAGCTGTTTTATTGGCACGTTGAAGCAGCATCAGATTAACTTTTTGCATCAAATTACTATTAAAAAACATTTTGCACTATCCATGAGCTTGTCTCGGTTACTTGTTCAGGTCTTTCTAATTTTTTTATTCTCAGTTGCCGTCATTCATTTGCAAATAGCGATATATGTGCACAATATCACTTTCGCAAATAGTACCCAGTATATATCATGTAGTAACGTACTTTAGTGTTGTTCACCAAGTTTGAATTCAAATATTAATCACGGCAAACATGCCAACAACTATCGATCATATTTGTTTTTTTCTTACTTATAATTTTATTCAAAACCTATAAATAGCGTGCACTTCAAATTTGACTCGACGCCCTTTACTTATCGGTAGAATTAAACTCTATTATGCACAAGAAGTTTGCTGGTGAATCATCAAGTTTAATTTAATTCAAAAAATTACGATGCGCATTACAACCTGTCCCGTGCCCGTGCGCACTATTAAATGCAAAAACCAGGCTGATGTACGATTCTACTAACATGACATTACGCATTAAATTTTGATATTAATTTCTGAGTTATCATGCAACTTTCAAAGTTTCCATTGCCGTATTTTATTTGTCAATAATTGCAGTAATTTATGTTATTCGCAAAACAGTTATAGTGTGCACTATTTGCCGTCTGTCCCCGATCATACCACTGGGCCCCCCCAGTGCATATTGCCGACCGGGCTCTTTTCCTTAAATCCTCCACTGGTCCGTCAAAGAGTATTTTTTATTAAATTTGCTCACAGCTTAAGTGCGCGCGAAGTTTTTCCTACATCAAGCTGACCGCGTAGGCAACCAGTCTTGCGCTATCAATAATGAGCTTACAGTTAAATCAAAGTTGCCGGATGCAGTGCTGCCATTTTTAGTAGAAAATACCAGTACGGCATCCATTTAATATGTGTGCGTTACAGATTTATCTAAGAGATTTGGAACTTGGTGGTCGCACTAAATTCGCCTGGGGGGGGGGGTCATGACTTCATGAATTCTTTTTATTTTTCAAAATAATCTTCTTTTAGAAAGATACACTTTTCCCAACGTTTCTGCCATTTTCTTGACCCCCCTCAAAAAATAGGATTTGTCGAACTCTCCAAAATACGGCTCTGTTTCGGCGATGACTTGCTCGTTTGAGCTAAATTTTTTCCCCGCGAGCCATTTCTTGATGTCAGGGAGTAAGAAAAAGTCGCAGGGGGCCAGATCGGGTGAATACGGGGGGTGCGGCAGCACTTCATAACGCAATTCATGCAGTTTGGCGGCGACAACTCCGGATGAATGTGCTGGTGCGTTATCGTGGTGAAACAGCACCTTCTTTTTCGTCAAATGTGGCCATGTGTCCTTCAATGTTTTGTCGAAGCGGTCCAATAACTTACTATAGTATTGTCCAGTGATCGTTCCTCCTTTTTCTAAAAAATGCACGAGGATGACGCCGTTCGCATCCCAAAAAATCGCCGGCTTCACCTTATTTGGAGCAGATTCACCTGGAGAAATCCATTGTTTTGATTATTGCTTAGTTTCTGGTGTGTAATGATGAATCCAGGTTTCATTGAAGGCGACTCGACGCAAAAACTCATTCGGATGTCGCTTAAATTGCTCCAAACAGTTAACAGCCGCATCCGCTTGTTGTCCACCGTGAGCAATCACTGCACCCATCGGGCAAACAATTTTTTCATAGCCAACTTATGATGCAAAATATTGATTGTCATTCCGGTCGACACACCTACGGCCACTGTTACTTCGCGCACTTTCGTTCGTCGATCAGCAAGAATCATGTCGTGGACTTTTGAATGATTTCCTCGGTAACCACGTCTGCCGGGCGTCCTGGTCGATCTTCATCAAAAACGGAGGTTCGTCCACGTTTAAATTCGTTGAACCAATATCTAACTGTGGTCATGGATGCCGAAGTGTTCCCATAAACAGCATCCAACTTTGCTTTTATCTCCTCCCATTTTTTCCCATCCAAAAACAAAAAGCGAATTACCGAATGATTCTGCTCTTTTTCCATCTTAGCGAAAATTACGAAACACGTGTTACTCGACTGGCTGCCAAATCTAAACTGGTTAGTCTGATTGATAGGTTTATCAATCAGACTGAAATTTGGTGTGCCGTCGTTTGATAGATGGCAGCACACGATGTTAACATTAACTTCCCTCACGAACACCTTCTGTCGTGAAACACCGGTACTTATTGAACCGCGCTCGTAGTCCCTCCATTATCAATATGTAATTGGAAACGCAAAAAATCCCTGAGCTGCACAAAAAAGGTGTGAAGTCGTGTGCAGATAAGTTGTACAGCAGAGAATACTGCCATGTCTACACGTCAAGCTAACGTACACCTATACATTGAGACTAGGACTAGACCAATGAGCATTATTATTCGTTTCCACAGCGAGTGTGCAGATAAGACATCGTCAAATGCTCATCATAATAGGCCATTGTCTATTCTTTACATATTTGCATTGGCGTATGTTAGCACAACGTATAGACGCGGCTCAAGAACTGCTAAATCTCTCATCATGGTCGTAGATCAAGAACTACCGGTGATCAAACTTATTTGCGAGGATGGTTATGAAAATAACCGAAAACATCGTGTAATGTATTCTTATCATTGCCACTTATTTATATATACGTTCACACCTTTTTTGCAGCTCTAGGTTTTTTGTTGTTCCAATTCTAAATGAAAATACTATACCTCACTTATCCAGTCAATCGGTAAGCGGCTGAAGAGAAATTACTGCATCTTATCCTCTACTTGAATTTCAAAAATTCATTAATATGCATATTCGTACGTCGGTGAATGCCACAATTACAAACGAGCTTATTATTCGAAATTGACTTGGCTGGCCTATCACAGAGTGAGTCACTGAGGACGTCCAAATATTAAAAGAGGATCGTCGTCGTCAACGGTGCGGCGGCTGGTGATATGTGTACGTCGTTGACCCCGCAACCCGCAAGCCCCTCGTCACAAACAATCAGCAAGCTGTAGCGCGAAAACTAAGCAATTTAGCAAAAAAAAAATGCAGAGACCTATTTTAATGGCCCTAAGATTAAAAAAACTTACGTGTAAAAAAATCCCAGATATCCTCAGCCGTTTCAGCGAAAAAGAGGTTTTTTGAGTTTTTCACTATTTTACAAAAAACGGCTGGTTTCCGGAAAACCAAACTGCTACGGCAATATTCGCAAACCTTTATTGCACCACTACGCGGTCATAACTTTGTGGCTATGTTATCACTTTTTATTTCGTCTTCATCTGAAACATTTGGAGAAAAACGTAAGCGCCGGGATAATTATGACATCGCATTCATCCCCTATCGTCGAATGGATAACATCAGTAATTCGGTAATCACGTCACCGCTGCAAATGTAGGTTGGTTACTGATTAGGTTTTTTTGAAGAGCAATAGGAGTGCATGGCTAGAAGATATCCATTTACATTTACACATTTCATAGCATTCAAGTATTTAAGAAACAGAACTGCCACTGCTCTTTTGAAGTCTACCTACAAACGACTAGCTCCTAAAACTTCGGTAAAGGTGTATCATAGAATTCTAACGTATCGGTAATTTGCTAGCACTTTCGTTTATTTTCCGTATACAAACTCCCGCTTAACTTTCTACTGCTTGTCGGCCAGGCGCCGTGCCATGCGTCCAGCGCGCTGCTTTGGTCAACCTGGGGGACCTGACTGCGTACGATTCCACCAAGAGGGCGCTGCTGAAGCACACTTCCTTGCCAGATGCCCTCCTGGTACACTTCCTCGCCAGCTCTGTGGCCGGCTTCTTCGCTGCTCTTCTTGGCACTCCTGCTGATGTCATCAAGACCAGGGTGATGAACCAGCCGTTCGACGAGAAGGGAAGGTTAGTAAAACATGTAACTTTTCTGCAATACACTATGTTGCCATTATTTTGTTAAAATAATCGCTATCCCCAGTACTTTGAAGCATCTTCCTGACTTTACCTTTCGGGTTACAAATTACTTCATAGTTTTGTACAGAGGTGGGCCCCGGTATCTTCCTCGAGAGTTTAGGGCCAATAACCACTAAGCCGGCTCTGCCGGATACGGCTTTCTTATAAATGCAGAGATGCACAAGATCGCTAGAGTACCTGAAATATTTTTCTGGGATAAATGGTCCATGCAAGCCAACAGTTGCTTAGAAGAGTCTAACAATATTTATCCTACACATTACCTTTAAAGGAAAGCTACCTCTCCAGTGACTATCTCCTCCTTATACAGGGTGTTCCTTAACGAATATTTAACAGTGTGAATCTACATGAAAAATTAATGTTAGTTTGCTTTATAAACTATGGTCCAAAAATGTTTCCTTGCAAAAACTCGGGGTGTTGAAGCTGTAGGAAAAAAATGGAAATCAATTAATATTTTCAGAACGGTTTTTATTTTTTTACTCAAAAATGGCGCATCGAAGGAAAACAATTCTAGAGAGATCATTTATTTTAAATTGAACGTGGAATTCAAAAATAATTTTTATTTGGCAAAAAACCATTGGCGTACCATTTTTTTCTTAAAAAATATCGAAGTCAATACCCGCACGCACGCCACTGTTAAAGCTAAAAATTATTTTTGCGTTGAAAAATATGCAACTTTATTAACTTTCACTGAGTACTAAATATCAGTGAAATATCTGAAGCGGTTCTGAAAATATTAATTAATTTCCATTTTTTTCCTAAAATTTCAACACCCCGAGTCTTTGTAAGGAAACATTTTTGAACTATAGTTTATAAAGCAAACTAACATTAATTTTTCATATAGATTGACACCCTTAAATATTCGCATATCATTAAGGAACACCCTGTAGGGGGGAAGAGAGAAAAAAATTTTCGCACAACCTAGACAACCGTAGGTAGGTTATACTTTTTTCTCTATTTAGCACTTAAAATAAATCTGCTCTTGAAAAATAATATGAACACCAGTAAGCTACAAGCAGTAACATATGAAAAAATTCAGCTAACAATAAGAACAAAAAGACCGTAAAATAAACAAATCAAATAGTGAGAATGACAAAAAAGTTTGAATTTTATCTGTTTCAATCCCTCAAATCAGAGCCCCCTTTCATCTCTTGGATCATATTCAGTGCTAATAAAAATTTCTAAAATCGTCATTTCTAACATGCGTCACTTAAAATGAGAAGATTACTATTTTGAAACTTCACCATGATTTTCAGTTTCTTGGTAACAGGTATGTCATTCATATAGCTCCTTCAGGCTCAGTGAATCTAATGAAATGACGCATTATTCCTTTCGCTAAAGTGACACTGGTAAAAACCAAAGATCTGACTTGAGACGTTTTTGTTTTACAGTGGTATCCTATACAAGAACTCTTTGGAGTGCCTGAAGAAAACAGTAGGCGAGGAAGGATTTGCCGCACTCTACAAAGGCTTCCTGCCAATCTATCTACGGATGGCTCCATGGTCGGTCACATTTTGGATTACATTCGAACAAGCCATGGTTATGCTTGGACAGGACACCTGGTAGAGAAATATGTTAAATTTACGATATCTGGATCTGAGGATCTGCAATTCGACCACTGCAACAAAGACTATAGTAACTCAAAAATCCTTGCTTTTGAGTTACTATATGGTACTATAGGCAACCAGTAAATCTTCTACGTCATATAGTAAGTATAATTGTTGCTCCCGCGAAAACTACATCAAATTGAGTTACCTTAGTCTTCGATGAAAAAAATCACCGAAAGCCTAACTTACTGTTAAACCTACTGTCTGACTCACTATGATTTTCGCGGCATAGTTTAAGGTTACGTTAATTAATAGCAAAAATGTTTCAAGTATTAGCTGTATGAAAAGAGCAGTTTTCAAAGCGAACTAAAATGAATTCAAGAACCAAAATAATTCTGACAGATGCAAAGAAGCTAAGTGCAGTTGCTGAACCGTTAAATTCAGGCAAGTTTGGTTCATAAATAATGATGAATTCTTTGAACACAACGAAAAGGTTCAAACATAGCATCTTCTTCTGCACGTTGTGCATTGGGATCTGTCGCATCACACTCTGTTTCTCTCATACCTGTAAAATAGAAAAGTTTAACAGATAATTCAACTACTACAGTCCTCGGTTTTGCTAAGACGACACTCGCGTGTTTGCTATTCATTCGTTCATCTCCAAGTCTGGACCTGATACAGACCTATATCGTACTGATGAGGGCTGAAGAGCCCTGTCTGCGGTTGGTCGTGGATACACTAGTTTTAAATAAAAGGTAAAATCGGAAAACTGGAACAAATACGATTGTGGAGAAAAGTTGAAAATAAATAAGTACCTCGTGAAATGAAATATAAGTGCGACTATGCTGATGATCTCACGAAAGTAATATTGATTATCAGCGAATGAAACCGCAAAACAATACGCTTCAGGAACTACGTTTGCTGTACACAAGCTTGCTTCCAGAAAATTAAATGGTTTATTAGACCTATGTAAATAAAAAGCAACCAGTCTTCCTAGCATTCCTGAGGCTCACCTGCTTTTCGTTTTTCTCTAAAAGCCAAGGAAGATAAAAAATACAAAGCGGTCAAAATATTAACAGTGCTGAAAATCAGGAGTTGAGAACGATGATATTGAAGACGAAGATGAATATAATTTGAGTGACTCAGATTGGCATTAAAGAGGTTTTTTTCGACCATTTGCTTGAAAAATGAATGCATATCCTACTAACTCTAGGGCAAGTGTACTTTTTTCATTAATTGATCCAACGAAAACTATAGTAAGTCAGCAAAATTTATAAAAAAATGTCACTTTCGCTAGGTTTGTATAGTAATACCATTTATAACCTTCAGTATACAAGAATTACTGCAATGTGCAACATATTTTTGATGAGATCGTCATTTTTCTGACAACGAAATTCATCAGAAAATCTTCTAATGCCTGTATCTCAGTTCAACCAAAACTGAGTTACAATAGTCTTCCTTGCAGGGGTCGAATTGATATAATCATATCAGGTACCTTTAACTGAAGCTGATCACTATGCAGGCAACTGTTGACTGAGAATTTAGTATCGTTTTTTGTCAATATATCGAGGAAAATATTAATTCTTTATGGATTAATATGTAATCATTTTTCAATAACATATATGATATTATGTATGTGAACTACAACCTAACTTACGCTATGCTTGATTCACGCAAGATATCTTGTAGTTACATTACAGACGCACCCGGTCATATTTCATTATATGCTGACGTGATTGAGATTGCGACCAGTTTGTATGTATCGATGCTTCAGTTAATTTTAACCTGTTGGTTACAGATATGTTGGAACCAGAGTTTGATTAAGATCAGGATGTTGCTCTTGTTAAAAAAAGTACGGTTACTCTTTCTCTCTCTATGCCAAACTCTTACAGTTCCTACGGGTATCAGCAGATAGAAATCATGTTACACATAAAGTCTGTATTTTGTTTTGGCATATTAACATTATGACATTTCTAGATCAAGGTTCCCATATACCCCGATATCATTAAATATTTATTAAATATTAAACAAAAAATGTTTGTTAAATATTTGTAGCGACAGATTTTTTAATATTTAATAAATATATTTCTTATATATTTATTAAATATTCATTATAGATATTTGTAGTATATATATTTCATATATTTTTGCGATATTTTTTCCAAATATTTAGAAAATATATGAGGAAAGATTTTTAAATATCAATTTTATATTCTGGTGAAATATTTAATACTTTCCGTAAATATGTATGGATTTTCAAGCATTAATCTGATACATATTTTGAGTGTGTATAGAAAATACTTCATTGGTTGTTTTAGCAAAATCTGTTGGAATGCCTATATAAAATTGGGTTTATAAAGAAAATTAATTCTATATATAATGGTTTAATTTGCTAGAAAAATATTATTAAAAAAAACATTCAGCCTCTTCTGCATCTTGCAAGTTCACTCCTCTGAAAAAACAAACTTACTAATTATGAAGTATTATTGAATACATAAGCTGCTTTCCAGTGGATTTATGAGAATATAAAATGCAGTGGAACAGTATTGGTGTTGAGCATGCTGAGTTACTCCTTGTAGCTCAACTGGGTCACTGAAAAGCAGCTCTACACCTATAATGCACCTAAAAGGACCCCATATTTTCTGCATATGATAACTCGAGATTTGGTTAATTTTTAAGAAAATTTGGTATGTCATTTTAGATATCTCGATGAAAAATGCCAAATGGGCACAAATTGATCCTTTTTCTAACTTTTAAAGAAAAGGTTTTTGAAAATAGACCACTTATTGATTTTCTTGAAATGTGACTTTTTTTAGTAAGGGGGTTAATTTAGCCATAACTATTTCGTGATTTTATATTATAATTCAAGGGACAAAAATATAGTATTTTCGACTGTTAAAATTTTGCAACGTCGCTGTTGAACTTAAAAATTTTAAAATAGTTACAGCTGATCTGCCCCCTACTACGACAAAAAAAGCATTTTTGATGTGTCTCGATCGAGTTGCGATTATATGACTTTTCATTGGGATGTTTTTTTTTTGAAACAAATCTTTATCCAATATGCAATTTTTACAAATTTGATAGGAAACAAAGTTTTCTAATCTGTGTTTAAAACACTGGCCTCGAGAACAACAATACTTAAAGAGCGAATTTTAGCTACAATAAATTCAACAATTCAAGTGTCTTTTGAGTGTCTTTACATAATTCCTGAATACATGTACTTTTTTTTACATTATTTGGTAGGTTGTTATACTTTTTTACTGCATCAGTGACAGGATTATTTAATCATATATTGGTTCTAGTAGGAATGTGGTACAAATTATTATGTGATCTTGTCTCATGGTCATGCACCTCATGTGTAATGATCAAAATGTTAAAATTTTTAAGATCATTTTACATTGTTCTAATTCCTACAGCTTATCTAGTTTACAAGTTGAATGTTTGTTCTGAGTACAGATTGCCCGTGTTGGCAAGTCGATCATAGTTGAACAAAATTCTTAATATTCTATTTTGCAAAACTTGTGCTTTATGAAATTCAGTTTTACAACACATTCCCCAAATAGGTAACATATATCTAAAGTGTGCTAAGAAAAATGCATTATAAATATTTATTATAAATATTATTTTACTTTTTGTAGTTAAGTAGTCTCTGCTTCGGTACAAAGCAGCTATCATCGATGTTGTTTTATCCAAAAAATTTTAATGTGACTAGACCAATTCAAGTTCTCATCTATAATTAAACCCAGGTTTTTGGTGCTCGATACTTTTTCTATTATAACATTATTTAGTCGTATACAAGGGTTTTCGAATATTTTATTTTTCTGTTTAAAAATTAGATATTTTGTTTTATCAATGTTGACCTTTAGTTTATTCGAATATAGCCATTTACAGTAAACAGCAAGATCTAAATTAACTTCGTCACGCAGAGCCTGCTCATGATTTCCTTTATAGAGAAGAACTGTGTCGTCAGCAAAAGTAAAATACCTTGCATTAAGATTTGCACTCTTTAGATTTAGAACATATAAAGAATATAATAGTGGACACCACAGTCACTAGATAACCACTCACTAGTTGTTTCACCAATTTTCACATATTGTTTCCTGTTAAGTAAATAAGTTTTAATCAAATTATACACAGTGCCCCCAAATCCCATATTTTGTAACTTATTCAATAATATATTAATATCTACCACATCAAACGCCTTTCTTAAGTCTATAAACAATGCTATAACCACTAGTTTTTCATCCAAAGCCCTTGAGATGTAATTTACAAAATCAACTGCAACTGCAAGCGTACTACTGTTTTTATGAACCCATACTGGTAACTGTCTGCTAATGTGTTTTCCTCTATACATGACATCATTCTTTTCTTGATAATTTTTTCGACAATTTTAGATAAAATACTGATCACAGATATTGGCCTATAGTTATTCATAGAGTGTTTATCACCTGATTTATAAAGTGGAGTAATTTTACTTATTTTAAGTTCATCTGGAAATTTTCCAGTTATAATTATGTTGTTAATTAATTTTACTAATATTTCTACAATATAAGGTCTGAGGTTGAGTATATCTCTGACTGAAATGCCATCATTTCCATGCTGAACTTATTTTTATTTCCAGTATGATTTCACTCACCTCTTGTTGATCAGTGAAGGCTATCAAAACTGTATTATGCATATACACTACTTTTTTTTCAATATTTGCACCTGATTTTGCAATAGAACTACCAACATTAGAGAAATATCTGTCTAAATTATTTACTACATCTATCCTATCATTCACGAGAGTGTTGCCAATCTTCATACAATCACAGGCAGCTCCCTCTGTTTTATGTTTAAAAAACTATTGACAAACGTCCATTGCTTTTTGATGTTGCTACCAGCTAAATTAAACTTTCTCCGAAAAAACCTATTCTTCAAGACTTTTATTTTATTTTTTATTCGGTTTTTAATTTTTTTAAATTCAGCAACTAAATTCTCATTTTGTGGTTGTGTGGACTTTTGTCTGTAAATTTTATCCCTTTTATCCATCATTTCAAGTAATTCCTCGTCTATCCAGCTATTATTTTCACGTATCCTTAATACTTTTTTTTTCTCCGACTTGACCTTACATTCTTGAATTATATCAATCAGGTGCTGAAATGTAGTAATATTCACTGTTTGTACCTTCCGTTGAACAAGATACTGAAGTCGCTTATAATCTATCGATCTTATTTCATAATTTGCCTTTGGTTTACGAATTTTAATGCTATCTTTAATATTTACTAACTAAGTAGCTTATGGTCCGACAGGGCATTTTCCTTAACACTTACATTATAATTCAGCTTACCGCCACGATCACTGAGAACATGGTCTATGAGAGATTTACTTGAATCCGTGGTTCGAGTAGCATGATCTTCACAAATTGAATTGTTTATTTTAAAGTTATTTATTGTTAACAAATTTTTGTATTCGAAAGTCGTTGGAGAATCTTCTAACAGGTTTATGTTCATATCTCCTATTATTAAATGATTTCTTGGATGTTCAAGGAGGATGGACTCCAGATACAGACAAAAATCCTTATTGTTGTACGATGGTGGTTTATAGACTACACTAATTTTAATATTTTGTTCACCTAAACATATACACATCCAATTCACGATGTCATTAGTATTGAACTGATCTAATTCATAAAATGATATTGTTTTGCGTACGTATATGGCCACTCTACCGCCACGCCCAGCTCTGCAGGAATGCACAGAAGAGTAGTTCTCCAATTCAAAAAGAAAGGTTTCATTTTTCTGCAACCACGTTTCACTAACCACCAATATATCACAGTCTTCCTTGAATATAAAACATTGCATGAGATCAATTTTATTCCTAATGCTCTGAATATTCATATACGCAATTTTGAGTCGTTTTTCGAGGCTCTTCTAGTTTTCCAACTGCTCCTTACTTTCAACTAACAGAACTTTAGATCGCTCGTCTTTCCGTAGGAAAATGCTTCCATTCCCAATCCATAGGAATTTGTATCCTTTCGCATTTTTGAACAATCTTGCAGCTTTGTACAGTTCAACATTCGTTTTTGTGAGCTCATGGTTTAGAAATATTTTATTCTCCGTTGTATAGCCTAAGTCGGTACTCTTGAGATCCAATTTCTTTTTTGATTTAAGAAACCTTGTTTTAATCGAATCATCAGCAAATACCACTTTGATTGGATTATTCTTTACACTTCCCTTATTCATTCGAAAGACAGTGAACTTTTGATTTATTGGAACACCAAGGTGTTTACCGATCTTGTTTATGATTTCTGGTAGGTTTTCGTCTTCTTTGCAAGGTACTCCTTGAACAAGCAGATTATTCTTGAGATCCCTTTGATCATTTTTGTTCAACTGTTTTTTAATACTACCTAATTCCTTTTGTAAAGTTTCGTTAATTTTAGCCTTCTCAGTAAATCTTGCAAACAATGCGTTATATTTTTCGTCCATTGCATCCAACTTCTCCATGAGATCCGCCAAGGTGTAGTTTTTTGCTTGCTGCTGAGGAGTCTTTTTGGCTTCATCTTCAGCATTACAAAAGTTACACGACCATTGCTGAGAAGATTTGCTCAGTTTCGTATAAGTTCCTTGAGAAATTGCCAGGCAAGTCCTATGCTTCCAAACATTACACTTGTCACATAATAGAGCTTTCTTGGTCATCAAGAACCGACTTGTTGCACATGTTACATATTTCTGCTGTAGTTTTCGGCATATTGCGAACGTTGTGCCGATCCTCACGCTGAAATTTGCAGTCGTCAGATGATTCAACTTATTTAAATCCACTGGTCTTGCTTATGTTTTTGCACACTTGTTCAGACTACTCTAAGGCAACACTAGAACTTACTTTTTACATTTAATTCCTCAATTTTCCAATAGAAATAACAACTTGATCAAGCAAGAAAAACAGTAAACAACTCGCACCGTTGTTAGTACTTCTTTATTTTTGTGTAATGTATTATGTAATGAATATTCTCAAATAAATCCACCAATACCAAATAACTGTTACACTTCAAGGCTAGTTATTCATGGTCTTGTGAATACCTTTATACTCAACTGTCACAACAATGTTTACTAGTCAGATAAATTAAGCTATGTAATTATCGAAAAACTTACCCTTTTCCACACAAAAAATAACACTCAAATAATGTACCACTTGGAGGTATAGAGGAAGGGCGCTATCATAGGGAAAGTCACAGGCAAAATGAATGCTGGCAAACGCGCAAACAGGCCTGCTTTCTATTATGCCATTGGTCGCTCGGTGACACACGCACATGCGCCGTAGCCGACAATATTTAATGAATATTTACTAAATATTGGAGATTTGATATTTTCCATTTATTGAATAATAAATATTTAATGAATATAAAGCAAAATATTGTAGTTAAATTATTTAAAACATATTGAATAAAAATATTATATTACAAATATTTATTAAATATTTGTTTAATAAAACAAATATTCAAGTAAGATAAAAATATTATTGTATATTTAATGAATATTTCATGCTATCGGGGTAGGGTATGAGGTATAATCTTATATAATAATACTGTACCACTGGTGGGCACTTTTTATTTTGGCGTCCATTTTTCCAAATATTTACATTTTTCTGAAGAAAATGATAACTAACTTTGTTATAGTATTTTTTGCTTGAGGAATTAATGATCTGATTACTTATGTCCACTTATTATCATACTGTTTGCCAATATTATATCATTCGGTACCTGTGAATGGATATTTTCCTTGACCAATGAAAATTTAGTTGAATTACATTAAAATATCAAAAATACGGGTACACGTGTTTCAATATTTTTCAAGTGACAGTCACACAATAAGCACTACAGACTGTCACACTGCACACCATTAGAAGAGCACCAATTTTTTTATCCATCGACTTGTGAGAAAAATTTATAGAAGACAAAAATATTCACATCGCTAGGCATAAACATTTGTGATAATTATTGATGTGGTAGTAAATTTTCTTTTCGATTGCGTGGGTGTTTGCTTAGAAGGTCGAATCTCTAAAGTGAAGCATAATCAAGAAATCGTTAGCAAGGCTCTAATTATATACTGGATTATAGGGCTAGGGTTATGCGAGGGCTAAGGTTATGCGATTAAAGATTTTGGACATGTGGGTTAGGGTGTCCCAGCCTGAAGGCAACAAATTTTTGTTTGAATTGAATTGAGATACGCTTTTTACTCTGAATTGAATTATTCTGTTAATAACTTAAATTTTATTATAATTTTACTTTGAGGTGATTAATTATGATTGATTGTTCGACCATCTACTACTGTAATATAAACTCTTTGTAATTAAAAATTATTTTCTACTTTTTAGTTCGGTTAGCTATAAAAGCGTGTTTTTTTTTTTAGTTTTCTTAGGGCCAATTTCACCAACATTAATATTATGAACCAATGGGAAAATACCTTATCAAAATGCAATTTGACGGAAGCTGTCAAAGGCCTCTGAATATTAGTGATTTCTATTGAAATATTGAATAAAATAGTGAAAATTCGATTGTATTATAAAGAAGACCACTTTTTTATTCCAACATGATGCTTTTGTACAGAAAAAAAAGGACAACTTTCATGTATTTTGATATATGTTATAGGTTTACATTTAACAATCCGTTATCCCCCTCAGCGAATGGGAATGCGGCAAATAATAGGTCGATTATCTAGCTGTTAAATTTGGCAGCAGATTTGGACGTTTGTTAATGCATGTCACTCTCGAATTTATCAACTTCAATATACTGAAAGTTATCATTACATACCTGTTGAATAGTGTGGATTTGTCTGTATTTTGCAAGAAAATAGAATATAAAATACATTCCATCCAATTCCTCATCTTCCTTTACGTCATAATAGTAATTTATGGGTTAATGAATTTCTTCAAAGCAATAAAAACATGATGTCCTCTCCATCCTAAAACACAGATAATATGTGTAAGACGTGTCAATCCCTACATCTCCCTGATGCATAATGCAATTACTATGGACATAGACAAAAAATTATGAAAAATGTTTCACAGATAATGGCTTTTAAGAGGGGTTTTCACGATACGAGTACATTCGGTCCGAGTGCGCGGTACGAGCTAAATCGTATAGGAGTCTACCTTAGATAGTAGTCTACACGTTCCGAGTTAAAGCAGCCTCCGAATAGCATTTATTTCAGTTCGTTAATGTTATCATGTCGACTAATTTATTGCTACAAGGCATAGAAGTAGTGGCAGATATGCTTATTTCGGAAATAGAAGGGCAACAAAAACCAAGAAAAAAAAGCAAAAGAAAGATTTGGACCCGCAATTGGATTTTACGGCGTAATCAACAGGGTGCATCAAATAATTTCCTTTGTGAAGTAAACATAGAAGATCAGGATACCTATAAAAATCATTTACGATTAAACAGCACACAATTTGAATTTCTTCTCAAAAGAGTTGCACCAAAAATACAGAAGGCAGATACTCTTATAAGGGAAGCGCTACCAGCAAGGGTTAAGCTTGAGATAGTTTTGCGTTATCTAGCTACTGGTGACTGCTTTCGCAGTTTGGAGAGTAACTTTCGGGTTCCAAAATCCTCGATATCCCAGTTTCTACCTGCAGTGTTAGATGCTATTTACAAGGCATTGGAAGAATTTATACAGGTCAGTAAGTACAAATCGTATTAATTATTTATTCAAGTAAATACACATTTCTATTGGGTGAGGAGTGAATTAATTTTTGTGATAGCTACTTCTGATATGTTATTTTCCAGGATCTTCAGGCACAGCATCTTCACTAATGGTACGTGTACACTATAGATTTTTCCCCGAGATTTGCGCTAGCTAGAGTCGCTTTAGACTAAGTCTATAGTGTACATATTACTGAGACTGCTCTAGCGAGTGTGGCGTAATACTCTCGGTAGCGCGACGTTAGTCTAGGTAGGGTTTTAGTGGACACAGTACTGAGACTAGTTCTCTAGATCACTCTCGCATTGTTTCGCTCTATTCGATGAGTTAAATAGATTAGTTGAAAGCATGGCTTCCCCACCAAGTGTAAATGAGCAAAAAGCTATGAAATGGGACAAAGAAAGTACTCTCAAGCTAATTGAGATGTACGAGGCACATCCAGAACTTTGGAATTGCTTACTGAAGGAGTACAGAGATCGGGATAAAAAGGCTCAAGCCAAATTGGAAGAAAATGGCATAATTTAAGGAGTCAAATGAATTCGGAGATAAGGAAAATTAAAAAAACCAAAAGTTGAGATGGAACTGATGATAGACTGTGGAAAAGTAAGTGAGAATTTTATGATGCGTTACAGTTCATGGTGGGTTGCTCTGGGAGCACCAAAAGCACTGCAAACTTTAGGGATACGGTGAGTAAACATTTTTTCAGCATTAGAAACATATATTACATTAAGCAGATAAAATGGTATTATGTTTATATATATTTATACTGCCAGGCGACTTCACCATGTTTGGATACAAAATAATTTTCAAATTGTTCTCTTCTTTGGCTGTTTTCGATGGGTTTCTAACATTTGTAGTCTGTAAAGGAACCATATTAGCTATAGGATTTCCTCCATTTCTCCAACTCCCATTGATAACGTTCCCATCATTTTCAGTATCAAATATTCCATTTGGGGCATATAAATGTGCCGAACTTTTTTGGGTCAGTAAGAAATTATGCAAAGAACATATTGCAAGTACAATTTTTTTAACCTTCTCTGGAGGTAGGTCTATTGGTCGTCTAAGAACACGAAATCGAGCCGAGATCAGTCCGAAAGCATTCTCAACTACACGCCTTGCTCTTGATATTCTATAGTTAAAAACCCGATTAAATCCGGGTTGGTTTTTGAAAGGAAAAGGTTTTAATAAATAGGAAGTCAAGGCAAAAGCATCATCGGCAATAACAACAAAAGGTGCATCTTCAGATTCACCCGGTAATGGCCTTGGTTTTGGCATGTTTAACATGTTGTTTTCTAATGCTCTTGACAATGAACAGTTTGCATACACGCCACCATCAGATATGCGTCCATTGCACCCGACATCCACATAAAGAAATTTGTATTTTGCATCAACTAGTGCCATGAGGACTATGCTATGTGTTCCTTTATAATTAAAATAAAGACTGCCTTTATTCCTTGGTGCTTTCATAACCACGTGCTTGCCATCTAGAGCACCTAAACAGTTTTTAAAATTCCAAATCTCCTCAAATCCCTTTGCAACTTCATACCATTCTTCCTGAGAGTTTGGGATCTAAAAGAAAAAGTAATATTACAAAACTAAAAATAAGCTTATTCGCTACTTTTGTTTTATTTCAGGTTTCGTCGCAAGAGGAAGATTTTCTGGAGGAGTCTCAATTACAAAGCATAGAAAAACCAACAACATCAAATACTACAACTCATCGTTCGAAAAAACTAAAAACCAAAGCCAAGGAGAAAACGGACGAGGAAGGTGATGCAATGCTAGAAAAGCCTAAAAACATACTAAATACACCAACTGACGAGCATACCGTATTTGGTGAATATGTTGCTAGTGAATTACAGCAGCTGCGTTCTGATGAACGAAAAAGAAGATTAAAACGAATAATCCAGAAAGCTATAGTTGCAATGAGCGAGGAAGATGAAGTGGAGTTTTCTGGATCAAGAACACTTACACCTTTAATGTCGCCTACTTATTCACATTCGAGTACATACCCATCAACTTCAAATACGGTTGAAAGTTTTGAAGAGGCACCGATAACAAATACAACTACAAACCTTCCTCCAATCACGCAGTTTTACGAAAATTACTTACCTGGAGATAATCCGTTTTCAGCACAGTAAATATCGCTTCACAAACTTCAGGTATAATCCTTGAAATGGTCGTGACTGGAATCCGAAAAAGGTATTGCAGGGAATGATAGCTATCTCCTACAATTAAAAATGATTTAATTAGAAGTTGTTTTTGTTTGCTTTTTAAGTTAAATACATCCTAGAAAACAAACTCATGTCTTTCAATACTCACCTGTTGCTAAAAACCGTAAAGTAAGCATGAGCCGTTCTGAAGGTGAAATAGCTAGCCTAAGATGAGTATCTTGTTTTCTAATCAATGGTTCAACTTTTTGAAGCAAGTATTCATAGTCCTTATTACTCATGCGTAAAAAGTTAGCGTATGAATTCATGTCTTCGCTGTGTAATTCTTTCACCAATTGAGCAAAAAAACCACTATCCTGTCTTCTTGAAATCCAGCTCCTAACCCACATCCTTCTCTTCTTGTTTTTTAGCTCAACATTTTTTCTCTTCTTCGTTATTAAAATAACAGAGGCAGCTGCAATTTACTTAATTCGCGACATTTCAAACTACTTCCAACAAACTACGGTGCAATAATGCCTATACGTTTTTACGAGATCAAATCTACCATGTTATGTACACACCACATAGAGAAATTGGTATAGATTTAATCTAGGAAATATCTACGAAGGTCTAGCGAGGGCCAAAATATGTTATAGTGTACACAGAACATAGACAAGTCTCACCTAGAGAACGTATCTAAATCTAAAATCTAGGTAGATTTTCTCTACAGTGTACACGTACCATAATAGTCGGTATGTTTCTTATAGCCTCTTCTAATATATTCTCTGCTCGAACGTCATTTTCAGACCCTGTTGCCTGAATGACAGTATTTGGTGGAGTATATGTTTTTAAAACTCGAATGGGAATATTTTGACCAGCATCAAATATATCCACATGGTCTGGTATTTCGATAAAGCATTCAGATTGTGGTGAGTAGCTAGAAGAGCTAGTCTGCTGGAGAATATGCTGCCTTTTCATTCTTAATAAATTTAAAATTTCTGTCTGAGCATCGAGAGCATCGGTTAGTGGTAGTTGTCGTAGTTGGCTAGCAATATTTTTGCCAAAATAATAGAACTCGTCTTCTACTTCTCTATTACACAGAGCTTGATTTTTAATTGACTGGAGTGTCTCGATTGATTTTTCAATATGTTGAGGCAATGCTCCCTTTGCGCGTTTCCTAGCTGGATGCGGGGGTACAGTAAAATGGCTACTATTAGGCGATGGATGGGCACACAAATCTGAGGGAGGGCTGGTAGGTATATCCGATGAGTGTGGTATATCTGGTAAGACTTGCACCTCTTGTGAAGGGATTTCTGATAATGCATCTGGGGAAGGGAAACTTGACTCGTCGAATTGTACCTGAAATAAAATAAAACTAATTTTAGGTTCGTTTGTATGGCTTACAGGTTCCGAAAACATACGAGGAATGGGATGTTATATCAAGAGGGTACAATCATCGTTGGAACTTTCCTGGATGTTGCGGCGCACTGGATGGAAAGCACATAAACATACAAAAACCAGAACACAGTGGAAGTGATTTTTATAACTATAAAGGTTACTGTAGTACTGTTCTCTTAGCACTTGTAGACAGTAACTACTGTTTCACATATATAGATGTGGGAAGCCAAGGCAGAATGAATGACGCTTCAATTTTCAGTAACTCAATACTGAGAAAGAAATTGGAAGATGGCACACTGAATTTTCCTTCTTGGGGTGTTATATTAGGAGACGAAGCATTTCCGTTAACATGCTATTTGATGAAACCCTATTCTCGTAGGCTGCCTTTGACGGACGAAGAAAAAATTTATAATTACCGACTTTCTCGAGCGAGAAGAATAGTAGAAAATGCCTTCGGAATAATGGTATCAAGATTCCGTATTTATCGTACTCCGATATATGTATGTCCAGATAAAGTAGACAAAATAGTAAAGGCAACTTGCGCGATGCATAATTGGCTAATCAAAACAGCTTCGCGATCATACGCACCTGTCGGCACTATGGACACGGACGATAGATCTGGTGCATGGAGACAAGATATTGCAGATATGCAGAATCAGGGCAGTAATAATTATTCCCAGTTAGCAGAACAAAAAAGAAGCAACTATAAAAATTATTTCATTGGACAACGTGCTCTCTCATGGCAAAATGACAGGATATTTTAGGCAAGCAGTAATACTTGTGTTTTTGTTTTTTTTTTTTTATACTCCAACTACCACGAAGGCCTAAGGCCTAAGCACCCATTGGGTACCGTGGGGCTATGGGGGATACATGGGAAAGGGGGGACGCCACACGGACTCTGGCGAGGGAACACGTGTGCATGCAACATGCACACATTCTGGCTCCGCCTACGACAACCGCCGGGTGGTACCTCCGCGATCGACAGTCAGAGACCATCTACCACCTACGGACAATCACAACATCCATGGCCAAGAGAAACATTTCTCCTGGGACGGGACTCGAACCCGCACAGCGCACGGCGGCTGATCAGGAGACCGAAGGGTCTACTACTGCGGCCACCGCTGCTGCCTAAAACAAACACACAACATCCATGGCGAAGGCGAGATTCGAACTCGCGGCCCGGCCGACCGGCTGATCAGTAGCACGACACTCTGACCCACGCGGCCAACCGAGGTCCATGGTTGTAAAATAATAAACCAATAATATGAATGTATATCTTGTTGTTTTATTGTACTTATGGTTAACTCATTGATTGGACATAAATGAGAAATACTAGGAAATCATACCATCGAATATAGTAGGTATATGATCAAAAACCAGCTTTTCTTTAAGCAGTTCCACTACTCGTTGTAAAAAGAAGCATAGACCTTGTCAGTCTATTTAAAACCCACTTGATCAAAAAGGACAAACTTGTGCAGGATTAAAATAAATAAAATGGCATCAAAACTACATTTCTCTCTCTAGGATGAAGTTACAAGTAGTACTTACCAGATTTTGAAAGGTTTTTCTCGGCTTAATAATTTCAGACAGAAATCTGTCGGCTATTTCGAACCATGGGACAGATAGTGTATATATCGTCAGCCCCCGATCCAGTTCCTTGTGACTTTAATCTTCATCTTTTCTTGTGAATACGTGCTACGTATGTTATTTATTTTTGTATTGATATCCTGGATGGTGGTGCCTTCTATATTTAAGTTATTTATAATGCGCTGCAGAGCAGCATTTCTTGCGTCTTTATTCTTGTAAGAACTAAGTCTTACGTTCCACAATACCTCTTCTGCTTCATACAGCTCAACAAACTTCAGTGTATCGCGCTCGCTCCACCTTTTTTTCCGAAGCGGTTGCACATTTACATTTGACGCCATTTTGATATAACCGCAATGATCCGAGTCAGCTCGTAAAAGTAGGACACGGCCCGAGTTCACTCTGATCGGACGATAACATCCGAGTGTGCTCGCATTACCGGTTTCCACGCTCCGAGTGCACTCGTATCGTGAAAACACATGCACAATCTGGCAACCCTGTCGCACCCTCACAAAATGGCCGCTGATAACCACACAAGTCACCGTGTTGTCATTGAATAGCATGGAATTAAACCTTCAGAGTATAATATGTTTTGTGATTTGTGACTGGTACCAAGAGTTGGCAGATCCCACACATGTGTCACTCCTTGAAATGCAATAATCAGCTGTATTCAAATAATGTCTAATATAAATATAACCTAGAATGTGTACTCGTGAAAAAAGAAAAATATGGCAAATTTGTAGTATTTTTTTGCAGGTTTTAGGTTTGATGGTAGCTTTAAGGCGTATATTTGGGAATTTATTCATCGCTGTGAATATAGTGTGGATGTTTGTTCAGTTCCTGAACAACGACAAATATTCAACTTTATGGATGTATGGATATCAAAAAACCTGAATGGTTTTGTGGGAATATCAATCTAAGGTAGGGATGCGCGATATTCTTCAATGTATCGATATTTGGTATCGATCCGTATCGTGAGAAATTGTATCGATACAGGAAAATATCGCTGTAAAAGAATCGATACCTCGATACGGTTATTCTGTAAGTCGTAATCTTATCCGTTACAAAAAAAATTAGGAATCGTGTTTGAATTTAAATCATTATATGATTGAATAATAAATTTTGGGTTCCAAAATCAAATATATTTGTTTGTATAATTTTCACATTTAATCATTTATAACAAAAAAAAATAAAAAATAATACTCGTATTAAAAAATACATATATAAAAGAAAATATAAAACAATACAGTTCCAATGTTTAACTTGAACTAACAAGTGTTGATATGTAAAAACTAAAATATTATAATCAACATAAATATAAATATATATAAACCAACATAATACAGGTTTTTCTTCAACTGCTATAAAAAATAACAAAAAAAAAACAAAACTATAATAGGTTCCAGTCTTCAAAATTTAAGGAACTTAAAAATAAAAGCTCTGATAATCTTTCTCCACTAAGCCTGTTACGGTTTGGGCTAATAATATTTCCAGCTTTTGAAAAAAGCCTTTCTGATGGAACTGAGGTTCCCACAATAGATAAATATTTATGAGCTATTTCTTTCAATATATGTGACGCGTGTGTGCTCCAGTAAGATAATGGGTCTGACAATATTGGTAGTGTTTGGCTGTTTAAATATATTTTAAAATCATAGTCAAGGCTGTCCCTAGTATCCACCTGCGTTAAAGTATGTTTGGCAGCTAATTCTTCATGGTAAGCCCATAAGCTTTGAGATTTATTTAGTTGAGGTTGAGGCGGTTGAGCACTTTGACTTTGTGAGTTTGGAGCATTTTTCATTTGGTCTTGGTTATGCAATTCACGTAATTGTTGAATTGACTGGTTAATAAAAGTAACAGCATTAGCACATGCCACTGGACTATTGAAATGTAGTTTTTTAAAACGGGGGTCTAATAAGGTTGACACAGCTAATAATTTATTTTGTTCTATAGCCCCAAACCTTTTAGAAAGTTCATTAATTGTTGTAGTTTTTAAAGCTAATATTTCTTTAGAAGATGGGGATAAATTTCCAATATTTTTAAAAAGGCACTTAACAATAGGTATAATCTTACTTGATGTTAAATATTGCTCGCCGCTGACTTCTTTTGAAACTGCCTCGATAGGAGATAGAATATTTAAAAGTTCTTTTATTTTTTCCAATTCAGATGCATCTAACATGGCTGGTGACTTTGGGTTTTTTAGTAAAATTGGAGCTATATATTCATATAAGTTAGTAAATCTGTCCAACATGTAAAAGGTCGAATTCCACCTAGTTGGCACAGATTGTATTAATCTTAAAATGTTATTGTCTGGCTGTGCTCTTCTTAAATCATCGGCTGCCGATACGCTTTGCTTAAAATAAGTTACAATAGATTTAACTTTAACATCAAGGGGCTTTACATCTTCACTGTCAGTAATTTTTGATGCCACCAGATCTAGCGTATGTGCAAAACAGAGCAGATGCCTGTTTTTCCCAAATAAGTCAGACACAGCTTTTACTATATTTGCTCCGTTGTCTGTAACTACAGTTGTGATTTTTAAATCAGAAATATTCCATTCTTCACAAATAGATGAAAGACATTGCCCTAAATATTCTGAAGTATGTCTTTGGTCCAACTCATACACTCCTATTGTCAGAGAAATTAGTTTACCATCCAACAGAAAATGTGCTGTCACTCCCAGGAAACTTGTTGTTGTTTTAATTTCTGTCTATATGTCTGTTGTAATTGTGATATTGTGTACTGTTTGAAGCTTTTGTTTAAACATACCTGATAATAAACCGTACTTTTCATCAATTAACTTAGATAGTGTTTTGCGATCGGGTACATGGTATAAAGGTTTGTGGTGTTTTCATGAAATATTTGAAACCTTCTTTTTGTACAGTGTTTAAGGGCAAGTTGTCTTTTGCGATCATGAATATGATAGCATTGGTGATTTTTCCAGCTTTTCCACCACCATCTACAAAAAATAACAAGCTTATAAAAAATACTCCTGACATGAAATACATATTATGTTAAAAAAAAGTGAAAATTTTTCATAAATTTTCCACCTCTTCAATCAGGCCGTTTTGGCTAATATAATATTTAAATACTTGAACTTATGACCTCACCAATTTTCATTTCTTGTTGACCCTGTATATTAAATGTAAAATTTTACTATACGAATGTTCATTTTTCTCAACACAGTAACTAATAAAATATACATAGTTGTTCTTAGTGTTAAAAGTTTCAACCTTTCAGAAGTAATTTCTTAATCACAAGTTTACAACTCTGACACATGAGCTGTTAAACAAGATCATCTGGTATATAAAATCAAAGATGACTTACCTGAAAATGACCTAATTGTTGAAAATGATTCTATTATTGAGGATTGGCGAGAAAGTGACACTCCTTTAGAACCAGAGCTAGAATATTGCTGATCTGAAGAACAGGAAGGTAGTGTCATCTGGTGTTTCCAGTTTATCAACATCCGAAGAAACTATAGACCAACTCGAAATTGAGTGCCGATTAGCATCAGACGATGAATCTTTGTTAGGCTAAAATAATAATAATCGACTTTTTAATGTGACTACATAATATATCGAAAAAAATTCTGACAGATTTTATAATAAATATTATAAATAAACGTTTACCTACATTTTTTTGTTCTGTTCCTTTTTTGCTTCTTCCTGAGGTGTATCTATATCATAATTTGGATGTTTTCTTTTTAGATGCTTTTTTAAATTTGTGTTCCCTGCTGTTTTTACGACACACTGACACAATTTGCATTTCCCTCCTGAACTAGTTTTCACAAATACTTTCCACACATTGCTTCTTATCGGTGGCATGATAAGGCAGAAAAACTAATTTTACTGCAACTATATTATAATTACTTTGATAATTAAAACAAATTAAAACTTAACCTCACAATTCCACGATTTCTGGTGATTCCCCTATTTTCCCGCAACATGGTCGATCACCTTGGCAACCACAGAACAATATAGTATAGGACGCTTTCGTTTATTCAACAGTAATCATCGGTGGATTCCATCTTTGATGGTTCATGATGGGCAACGATAGATGTCATCGCTACTACATCTCTGCCGGCTTCGATGTAGTAGCGACCTACAAATTTCCTTGGCGGGATTTACACTCGTCATAACTAGATGCCGCAAGTTTCTCAATCCGCGGATCGTATGATCCGATATACAAGCAAAAGTATCGATATTAGTGATGTATCGCAATGAAAATATCGATACAAAATATTACTTAATATATACAAATTAATATAAAAAAACGGTTATCCATGTTACACTCCTGGAGCTGCTAATTTTGATGTGTGATCTCATGAGTATTAGTGAATTGTTTTCCGAATTAGATGATAAAATTTGGATCTTTAGATGTGATACTGCGGCTTAAAATTTGCATTAAATGTAATTATGTTCTAATTTGTACGGTAATTTAACCAACTGTGTTGCAAAAAGTTTGTGATTTAATTTTCCGACGTCATGTTGTTTTGATTAAATTTTTAAAAATTCTAATATCCAATAACGAAACTTTTCTACGAGAATCATACCTCTTAATGTGCAACCCGCTTATAATGGACTCGGCGGGAGTGTGACAAATAGTCTATCATAGTCGGATGACCATCTTAAAAGAAACACTTTTTTAATGAAAAAAGCAGCAGAAAAAAGCTTAAAGTGTGTTTGTTTAACATGTATTACATAAATAAAGATACATACAAAAAAGTTATACGAAATTTTGAAATTTGCATTTTTTCAGAATCTGATACACATATAATTATACTTTGGGTCCAGTCCGAAGACATCACTTTGTTTATTCACTATGTAGTCCGCCCCTGGAGTACGATCCGCGCACCAAGTTGAAAGACGAGAATCCCCACCTCCTCGCCGCGCCCTGGCCACTCGCGTTGAATCATTCGCCTTTTGGTGCGCGATCCGTGCAGTCGCCCGGCCTGCTTCAGTTCAGAAAACGCGTGCGATTTCTCTTTTCGGTACATAGTGCTCAGTGAGTAGGTAGGTAAGTTCACAACAAGGCTATTCTTTTTGATACCACTTAGCAGTCTGTTACATAATTGATTGGCGTATTCAACCAGATTGAATACGTTAACCAATGGTTATACTTGTTTAACAGAAACCATGGAAAAATCAGGAATTTCGGAGGCCAATTCACCCAGCTCCTTGAGAGACATGATTCGGGCCATTTTACAGGAGGAGCTCGAGGCAAGGTCAGGTGGTTATCGTTCTCGCACTAATTCGAGAAGTTTATCCCGAAAGAGTCGACACAGCAGATCCATGTCTCGTACCAATTCACCTCATCATTTTAGACGCTCCCGCTCTCGCATCAGCCGTAGGCGTTCAAGGTCACGTTCTAGGAGTAGTAACAGTCGCAGTCGATCACCGAGCGTGTCGAGGCGACGTAGAGAGAGACGGGAATATTTGCGTCAAGAGAAAAACTCAGGCAGCCCATCTGATAAGGTACAGCGTCAGGTAGACTCGGCTGGCCGTTCTCCGTGCGAGGCGGAAGCTCAGATTCTGACAGGGCCGGACTTGGGAACGGTACCAACTGAGAAAAATGATATGGAGGATGTTTTGATGCTTAGTGAAGGTGAGTGTCTCCCATTATCGGAAGACATATTAAATATCCTGGGTGTAGATCCTAAAAAAGCCAATAGGTCTAACTTCCAACTACACGGTGCCTTAGCTTCTCGATGGTCCCACATTTTGGCCAACGGACTTTCCACCGAGGACACCACCATCATTAGAGAAAAACACATTGTGCCTTCTAACTGTGCCTCTTTACACCCTCCGAAGATAAACCCCGAAGTGAAAGCCATTCTCTCTTCTACTCATTTAACGAGAGATGCCACCCATTCCGGGTACCAATTGAACATTGGTACCGGACTGACCGCCATGGGGAAAGCTTTTAACGTCATTTTGGAAGAAGAAACCCAGATTCCCAAGGATACCAAGGAAAAGATTTTATCGAATTTGACAGATTCTGCGCGAATCTTGGCGGCACTCTTTCACGACATCTCTAAAACTAGAAAGTACCTGATCAGCCCAGTACTCAACAAATCAGTTAAAGAACTGACTGAAAACACCTTACCAGGGGAGTTCTTATTCGGGCCAGATTTAGGTGAGCGGGCGAAAAATTTGAAATCTTTGGAGAAGGCCGGACAGGACCTACGTTTGTCCTCTATCCCCTCACGCAGTAGCTCTCAAGTGACTCGGTCTTTCAGTAATCCTGAAAGAAGAGGGGGGGGAGGCAACTCGTCAAAGAATGTAGGCGCTTTAAACAGGTATCGCCCGTCTTACCGCAAGAGGGAGGTGAGGCAGCACAAGGGCAATTCCTCAAAACAGTTTGCTCCGAACAGACAACAGCAGTCCAGAAAACGTTGAAGGTAAAACAAGTTCTATTTGCTGGTCGGCTACAATTTTACCTCAACTCTTGGTCAAAACTAACTTCAAATCCGATAGTCTTATCCTGGATTCAAGGTTACCGGATTCCCTTTAAATGCACACCTCCATTACGTCAACCTTTGGGCACAAATAATTTTTCTTCGACAGAAACATCGCTAGTTCGAGTAGCTATACGCGACTTGCAGAAGTCCGGGGCCATAATCAAATCTGAGTCAAGGCCCGATCAATTTATCTCTCCATATTTTCTTGCAGATAAATCCAACGGGGGAAAAAGATTTATATTAAACCTGAAACAGTTAAATGAATATGTGGAATGCCCGCATTTCAAAATGGAGGACCTTCGTACGGCTATAAAATTGACTCATAAAAACGTGTACATGTGCACAATCGACTTGAGAGATGCGTATTTTTTAGTACCTGTCCACAGCGACCATCAACAATTTCTAAAATTCTACTTTGATGGCCAATTGTATCAATTCACTTGCCTACCGTTTGGGTTATGTACAGCTCCGTTATGTTTCACAAAGCTTATGAAGCCAGTCGTCTCTTTTCTCCGCAATTTAGGCATCTCTACAGTCAATTATTTAGACGATTTTCTAATCTTTGGAGTTGCCTATGAATCCTGCCTTAATAATGTTAGCACAACCATTCGGTTTTTAAGCTCATTGGGTCTTATCATCAATAACAGCAAAAGCATTCTGGTACCCACTACTCGTATAAGATTCCTCGGCTTTCTGATAGATAGTGTTAATTTAACAATTGAACTTCCTGCCGAAAAGAAAAATCACATCCTCAGGTTAGCCTCATATTATTTGAACCAATCGAGATGTAGAATTCGCGACTGGGCAAGGTTCATTGGCACCTTGGTGTCGGCTTGTCCTGGTGTGAAATACGGGTTTCTTTATTGCAAATCTCTAGAAAGGGAAAAATTCTTAGCTTTAGAGAAAAACAATGGAAATTATAACGCAAGTATGGCTATTCCTGAAAACATAAAGAGCGATATTTCATGGTGGAAAGATCACATTTCAACAGCTTTCAATGACATAAGGTATGATTTCTTTCATATCACCATCTTTACCGACGCATCGCTAACAGGATGGGGGGCTTGCTCTGGCCAGGATAGAACCCACGGTTTCTGGTCCGACTCCCAAAAACTATTGCATATAAATAATTTGGAATTATGGGCTATATTTTACGGCATCCAGTGTTATGCAAAACTTTTAAAAAATTGCAATATTCTAATTCGATGCGACAATACAACAGCCGTTTCTTACATTAACAGAATGGGGAGTGTTCGGTTTCCAGAGCTATGTTCTCTGGCTAAACAAATTTGGCAATGGTGTGAGGAAAGAAATCTCTGGCTTTTTGCATCATACATCCCATCTAAAGATAACGCTATAGCAGACGATGAGTCCAGGAGCTTGAATTTTGAAACGGAATGGTCATTATCTCAAACTGCCTTCGACCATTTAACCGACATCTTCGGAAAACCAGAGATCGATCTTTTTGCCTCTCATACCAATGCGAAATGCGAGGTATACGCTTCCTGGCATAGAGATCCAGGATCTACATATATCGATGCGTTTACAATTCGCTGGAACAGTTTTTATTTTTATGCATTCCCCCCTTTTACCTTAATTCTCCGAGTTTTACAAAAAATAATTCAGGATAAGGCTGTCGGAATTTTGGTGGTTCCTTGGTGGCCTTCACAACCTTGGTACCCACTTTTCCGTCAGTTATTGATCGACCAAGAAATTCATTTTCCCCCTTCACCTGATTTACTATCTTGTGCGGTTTCCAGGTCACATCCGCTGTCGAAAACCCTTACCCTGGTAGCAGCGAAGTTATCAGGCAAGCGTTTTTGAGTAGAGAGGTGCCGGAATCTGCTATTTCTACAATCATCGCCTCAGTCTCCAGATCCACATTGCAGCAATATAACAGCTCCTACAAATTGTGGTGGGAATTTTGCTTTAGTAATGACATTTCGATCTTTAAACCCACAATCAAAGACGTGGTGTCATTCTTGCAAGAGTTGACAAAGAAGAAAAACCTCACGTCTGGCACTTTTAATTCTCATACATCTGCTCTTTCACTAATTTGCTCAACTGATTTAGCATCCAATCCTATAATTAGACGCTTCAAAAAAGGCATTCAT